GAGAATCTTGACACAGTGGTAGCATTTCTCAAAACATCTTTTATTGCTTCATTGTCTAAAATAGCAGAATTTCCAATAAAGGAGAAGGGGCTGAATGACAAAACAGTTACAGCTAATTTACAGGTAGAAGCTATGGAAAATTAGGAAATCAAATATTTCCCCAATTTTAAGTCCTCCTTCCTTGTTTATTTTTATGAGTTTGTGTTTATTTGATACAGTGGCATATTTTTTTCATCTGCACACAGTCTGTCATAATTTTAGGTGATTAGAACTGTCTCCATGTAGCCAAGGAAGAGAAGATGGCTTTAGAACCTCCACATTGCTTTCTTGTCATTGTCCTGTTGCCTCTTTGGTTTCTTCCCGTTTTCTGGTCCAGCTGTGAGGCAGCTCCAGAGGTGCCAAATGGATGGGAAGCTCCAGGGTAGAAATGAGACCCTTGATGAGCCGTGTCTTTCTGCCGGCCTGGGAATGTCCAAGTGTGTGTATTTCTGCTGGAGTTCCAAATGTACAGGTCTGTGGGTAATGGAGTGTGAAGATATAACAGCAAAACATTCACTGTGCTTTTCCCAGGTCCTCTCCTGGAAACTTGTACCCGATAGTTACCCTCCAGGTGACCAACCACCTCCTCCCTCTTACATTTATGGGGCACAACACTTGCTGCGTTTGTTTGGTAAGAAATCCTGGTCTCTGCTTTCTTCTTACCTTTTTTATTTTCCACTTTAATTTTAACACCTGTAGGCTTAGGTACATCTTGTGGTAATTTGGGGGTCTAAGAAAATTAATTGAATTTTGATCTCTTAAAAACAATGAATCTTAAATTTCATATAAATTGTGTTTGTAATATTTGTACTTACTACTCTGGGTTCAGTAAGAGTTTTGGTTTTGTTTGGCAGCATAGATGTTAATTTCAGTTTGAATAATGTCACAGGGACCCAGAGGATCCCTGAGTGTGTCCTAGTGATCCCCAGATTCTGCCGATTGTAAATGATTTTGCTTTTCTTTTTAATGCAGTGAAACTTCCAGAAATCCTTGGAAAGATGTCCTTTTCTGAGAAGAATCTGAAGGCTTTACTGAAGCACTTTGATCTCTTTCTGAGGTATTGTTATTACTTTGTCAAAACTTACTCTGCCACCGTATATATGGCTTTTTGAACTTGTCTTCAGCAGATGTATAAGCTAGCTCTGGTATTTTGAATGGTAGCAGTATTACCTAACTGTGGTTGGTTCTAATAGTAATTGTAATATGGGGAGTTGGAGCTGTTTCATTTTCTCATAGTTTATCTGGTTTCTAAGCAAAGGGTTTGGAGGTAAAATTTTTTTGTGGCACCAGAAGAATCCAGTTGGATAGCCATGTGAGTAGAAAATTAATTTTCTAAAGAAGTGATTGAGATTGATAACTATTTAATTTTATGTATTTTATTCAGGAGTACCTTAAGCATGTGACTTTTCTTTGTTCCATGTACATACATTTGTAGGTCTGATTTTGATGTCTACTTTGGAGTTAAGAGAAATGGTGAATAGTCTTTGCTGATAGTTTGTGAATTTGGAGAAAGAAAGTGTTTCCTTCACCTGACAGGGCCATTTGGTTACATGGTTGGATCATTCTCCCTGAGGCTGAGCCCTCTGCTTACCTGGGGCCGTAGACCCCAGCCTCCTTTACGCCTGTGGCCCAGTTCTCACCCCTAGATGTCTATTGACTGGTTTCTCCCGGTGTTCCAGGCTGGTGGCCGCTCTGCCTCACCCAGTGTGTCCCATCTCCCTGACCTTGTTTCTTCTCTCTCTTTAAGAGGATACTTTTTCCTTGTATTTAGGTCCCAACCTGCAAGAGCTAGTCAAGTAGGATTTACTGGAGTGGAGAACACTCCAGCCAGAGAAATGAGTCTTAGAGTTTGTAAAAGATGCTTTCGTCTGGGTATTTCGAATAATGCATCAAATGAGTGGAATTCAACTTTAAAACATTTTATTAGAAACAAGTTTCAAAAATACCCTAATCTCCTTCAGCCTTCCCCTCAAACAAACCTACAGCTCTGTTTTGTAGAAACATTTTGTTACACCAAAATGAAATAATGCCAAATGAGACAGCCACTAGTTAGCACAGGTGAGCCTTCTAATTCTGATATATGCCCAAAACAAAATAGAAATTAGGGTTTTAGGAAGTTACTTACAAAGATTTACAAATAAAATAGTACAGCTGACCCTTGAACAACATGGGTTTGAACTGCACAAATCCATTTATACGTGGATTTTTTTAAATAGTAAATACTTAGCACTACATGATCCATGTGGCAGGTTGCATCTGCGAATTTGGACGAATAGTGAATACGGAGGGCCCAACTAATCAAATCCTTATACAAGGATTTTCAACTCCGTAGAAGGTTGGCACCCCAACTCCCATACTGTTCAGCTGTAATGGGTTATGAAAATGTATCCAAACATGTCAACTATAGAATCAGTGGATCAAGAGTTGCTATAAAAAAGGTACAATCAAAGAAGAAAGAGTTACCTCAAATGAATTTGACTTGGTTTTTACTGAAGAAGGTATTGCAGAGGTTTATCCTTACCTTTTTAGGAATTAGGACAGTTGGGAGGAGGCCAGGGAAACAAACAGGAAGCTAGTTACTTAGCATACTAGTTACTGTGGCCCATGTGAGCCTGTTTCAGCCCTTCATGGTGAAATATTTGATACTTCAGAGTCAAGATGGTGTCTGTGTTGCAGATTCTTCAGTGACTGGCTATATTTCAACATCAATCCATAGTCAGGCATAAATCAGTCTTAAGCTTTTAGTACTAAGCTGGGACTTGCAGCATCTTTTGGCAACGGCAAAGTAGAACTCAAAATGCTCTTTACTGATTAAACCATTCAGTTCTGTTTTAACTCAGCCTGTGTAAGTACTGTGCATTTCTCAGGTGACATTTATTGAGTTAATAATTTATTTTTTATAGTTTGTTTTTTAAAACAGGAAAATGTAGAAATACTCAGAGGCCTTTTTGAATGGAAGTGTTTAGATAATCAAGACTGCCACCTAGTGGAGTTTAGAAGCTATAGAAATAGAATTTTGTACACTTGCTAGTGAAAGGATTCCAATGAAATAGTCCTTAACATAGAAGCTGGGTATGTGCAATGAACATAATCAGTATATAGAAATCAAGATTATAGTATTTTTTTCTACCTAATACAAAAAGAGTGAAATGTTGCAGTTGTGGAAATTCCTGTTTTGCTTCCTGGTATTTAGTCTTTACTGTGGTGATCATAGGGGCTATTTTTTTTTTTCCAGGTTTCTAGCAGAGTACCATGATGACTTCTTCCCAGAGTCTGCCTATGTTGCTGCCTGTGAGGCACACTACAGCACGAAGAATCCCAGGGCGATTTATTAAGGTTTCGATGGTCCTAGAAGAACAGCTTCTCTATCTAGTTCTCGGTTCCCAGTAAAGAACTAGGTAGTCAGTGGGCCTTCTTTATGCAGAAAGCAAATGTGACGCCCACCCTGGGGGGCTTTGGCAGAGGTGGGCCCATTCGTTTGAGTTGCTTACCTATTGTAGTTATTTCTGTTAAGGGGTACTTCCTCGGTGCCTCGATGGCCTACAACATCTAACCCTTGCCACCGTACACATGATTTGTGTTGGCAGGAAAACAGCAGCTGTGTTAACAATTACTTGTTCATGAACATGTGCTTAGATTGGGCTGTTTCAGTAGACGGAGGTACTTGTTAGGAGTAACCACGTCTTTTAGTTATTTGTTGGCATTGAACAAAATTGTTTTGCAAACTGTTTTCATTCTTGTTATAAGGTTGAGCAACTCTGTCCCACAAATTCTAGTTTTGCTTGGAAACTGCAAAGTAGTCCCCGAATATTTTAGAGGGAGTCGATATTGATGGCAAAAGAAAATTTGCAGCTACACATTTGCTTGTTACAGTTCCTTTTCTATAAAACCTTATTTTTGGTGATTTAAATAAAGCATTGCCTGAATGTTTGAGATTTTTATAGCTACACTTGGTTGTGTAATATTATGGTTCCTTTTCTGTAAAATGTTATTTTTGGCCATTTCAAATAAATCATTTCCCATCTTACTGGAAAGAACCAGGAGAGTTTTTACTCTGGTCTTGTCCTTTTCTCTTTATTTGTTGTGGAAAGCAGTAATGTAACTTTGATTCCTAAATTTTGTGTTTTATTTTGCTTTCCCTTTGTGCCTTTTTTGTTAAGGACTTTTGTTTTCCTTCCCTTTCTTTGATTTTCCTACCTTGGCTGCCTAACTGGAAGGTGCTTCCTGGAATTTGGTACAGCCCGTCACTGTCTTTTTGTCTGACTCTGGGCTGGTTTGGGGCCAACATGTTTATTGTCTTCCATCATTACATAAAATCTAGCAAGATGATGTTAAGGGGCTTGATATCCATTGGGAAAACGGGTTTCAACAGATTAAGATTAAAAGCAGTAACTTGGGAAAGTCATGTTTACACCCCAATGAAATTAGACTCTTCAACACACCAGTTAAATCTTTTTTTTTCCTTTCTTTCTTTGTTAGTAATTGGACAGACACTTTTTTTTGTTTGTTTTTTTGTTTTTTGGACAGACACTTTTTAAAAGCTTCTGCTTCTCTTGTGCTTAAACCATATTCCTCCAGATGTTCATTTGGGACAAAGCCTTAGTGCATTTTTAAGCTGATTGAATTATGTTGTGTCTACTTACTTAGTTTCAATAAAAACAATGCTACTTTCTGTGTCTCCTGGAACACATCTTCTAAACTCAAAGTGAATTTGTAAATGACCATTTCTTTGCTTCAGCTTTCCCTCTGATGGGTGTAAATAGTGGGACCAGTAAGCAGAATTTATGTCCCCAGTGAATATCTTCAACATGTGGGATGACATGCTTACCCAGCTCTACTCCTTTGGCATGTAGACTGGCGCATCCAATAGGGGCCCGGCCCAGATCACCTTGCCGTGGTCGGAAATGTTGCCAATGTACCTCTGGCATTGAAAGCATATGTATTACATCTGTCCTCACACACCAACAAGTACAATTACAATAAATGAGTGAATAAGCAAGAGTTCATGTGTTGAACAGTCTGATTGTAGTCTCAGGGGATGGTGGACATTTCTGAGGACCAAAGGAAAAGCAATGAAGGGTCTGCTTCCGAAAAAGAGGATTGGGGCATGTTTGCTGGGGGACTTACAGGGTAAACCTTTCTTTCATCACCATAAGTGACCGTGGCCAAAATGTCAACCATTCACTTGGAGCTTGAGGAGATAGATGTGTGCTTCTGACCTTTTTGTGAAGGTAGATTGCCAGGCTGGGACTGACCTCCAGTTAGGCAGGGAGAGAGCAAGGATCCCCCAAGAGTTGGTAACACCAGGTTCGTATGTTCTTTCACTCATCAAAAGGGGTCTAGCAGGAGGCAGATGCAAATGACCACATATGATTCCATTTGTGATGTGTCCAGAGGAGGCAACCTATAGAAACAGTAGATTAGTGGTTGTCAGAGGATGGGGAAAAGAGGGAATTGGAACTGACTGCTAATAGGGCTGAAGTCTCTTCAGGGAGATGGAAACTTCTGGAATTAAGACAGTCATGATCATTGTCCCACTCTGTGAGTTTATTAAAAAACACTGAATTTTACATATTTTTTAATGGTGAGTGTTATGGCGTGTGAATTACATCTCAGTTAAAGCGTAGAGATCTAGGGACTGGCAATGCCTAAAACTCAAGAAAAATATTCCACAGAAATCCATTTTTGAGAGCCAAATGGCTGGCTATTTGATCTAATCATTCACATGTCTTCTTTCATGCATCATTGCCCAAGGTAGGCGAAGCTCCTTTCCTCACTCCACTGACTTTACACTTCACCAGAGGGTCAGGAGACCCAGGGCCATGCCTTCATACAATATCTTTTATAGGCAAATGGGAAGTTGGCAGATCTTCAAACCTCTCTGACTCCCAAATTCTTCTGCATGGCAGGGCATGAGGAATAATGATATATGGATATTCTGATATAAGCCAAAAAGGTTAACAAACAGTTTAGTGACAGCAAAAGTAACATGGATTAAGAATAATGCAGACCATAGCCAGGTCGTCTTTACAAGTCTTCCTGTTCTGGAATTTCTTTGCAACATCAATCTTTATCCTTCTAAGAGGTCATAAAAAAGCATAAGTGGTAAAGTGCTTGACTGTGTTTTTCT